AGCAGCAGCAGCAGCAGCAGCAGCCCTTGCCGGACGCGTACGACGACCGTGTGCCGTGCCCGCACTGCGGCCGGAAGTTTGCTGAGCTGACGGCGCAGCGGCATATTCCCAAGTGCATGACGACCATCGCGAAGCCAAAAGGCATTCGCCCGGTTCGTCGCTAGCGTCACTGCGCTGTAGACTTGTTGATCAATGTTTTTTTTTTTTTCGTTACTGCTGTTCTTGTTGTTGTTTCTGCTCTGTTTTATTATTATTATTATTATTATTATTTCCCCCCGGCTGTTGTGTTTCATTGAGTCCCCCTCCCCTCCCGCACCGCACCGCAGACCCGCTGCTGCTGCGGGTGGTGGCGGCATGGTTTGTGTGTGGGGGGTGGGGGCGAGCTGTTTCCATGACTGGTGGTCCCCCAACGGAGGGGGGAGGGAGAACGAGGCGCAGGCACAAACGAGGGGGCTTCTTCTTCTTCTCTTGGCGGCGACGGGCGTCGGTGATGGAACAGAACGCGACGGGACAAGAGTGCTGGGCGCATGGGGTGGGGGGCGGGGCGGGGACGAGGGAACGGAAGGAATAAATGNTATATATATATATGTGAGAAAAAAACGGAGCAAGCCACATGTAACAGGTGGGGTAGAGAGTGTGTGTAGAAGAGCGAGCATGGGAGAAAGAGAAGGTGGGGGTCGATGTAGGCGAGGCGCTTCTGCCTGCTGTGGCTCGCAAACAAACAAACCAAAAAACTCTCATTGTGTGTTTGGGTGGCACACGCTTATGATAAATATTGTGCGGATGTGTCGGTGGGTAACAGTTTGGGGGGTTTAGGCACCGTTTCCCGATTGTATTGCCAGCAGAATGAATGCAGGTTTCATTCTCTCGCTGGCAGGATTGCATTCACACGTCTCTTCTCTCGGGGATGCCGCTGTTGCAATGTTGCATGTACATCTTCAATAGATATACATATATATATATATACATATATGTGTGTGTGTACATACGCCTATATGCGCCGCCTTATGGGCCTTGCACTCTCAGTGCAGACGTGTGTGTGTGTGTGTGTGTGTGTGTGTGTGTGTGTGTGTGCTGCAGCAGTGTGGCGCGTCTCCCGGTACGCATTGGGCATGCCCCACGCACGTCTGCACAAGCACATGTGCCTCGACACCAGCGAGGTGGTGAAGGAATGAGTGGTGGAGTAGGAACGCGTAGGAGTGTACAAAGAACGAGCTGTTTCTGTTCTTTATTATTATTCCGATTATGATTGTTGTTGTGATTGGTTTCTTTTTCTCTGCGTGCTCGTTCTTGTCGAATGGCTGCGGTTGTGTGTGTGTGTGTGTGTGTGTGTGTGTGTCTTGTGGGGGAAGGAAAGCAGGCAGGGAGTGGGGAGGGCGAGGGGGGATTGCCGTGCGTAACGGATACAGAGAACGTGTAGTTGACTGTCTGTGTGTGTGTGTGTAAGGGTGCTAGATCACGCAGAGAGAAACGCGTGCGCCAGGCCGCGACGTGAGAGAAAACGAAGTGTTAGAAACGCAAACGAGTGCGGGGCAGAAGCGGCGACAACAAATCACAATGAGCACGAAGGACAAACAAAACAAAAGAAGGAAACATATGTCTCTGTGTGTGTGTGTGAGCTGCCCGCCTTTGCTCCGCGTCACGATGCTCATCAGGGCGTCTCACTCTCCCTCCCTGTCTGTCTGTCTGTCTGCGTGTTTGTGTGTTTGTGTGTGTTTGTTTGTGCTTCGCATAAATGAGATGTGCCAGCGCAACACACGACGGCGGCCGTTGCAGGCATTTTTTTTTTNTCTCTCTCTCTCTCTCTCTCTCCCTCACACTCACTCTGTGCGTGTGTATGTGTGTGTCTTTGTCTCTATCGTTTGTTTCTTTCTGTCTCCTCCGCGCTGTCTCTATGTGTGTGTGTGTGCGTGCGGTATGCGTGGAGGGTTCACCACACACACACACACACACACGCAATACAGCTGCAGCAGCAAGAAGAGCGGCCGGCGTTGTTTTAGCACCATTGGGAAAGCAGGAGAAGCCTCGTCGCCGTCGCCGCCTCCTCTCCACCCCCGCCTCACGCACGTACTGTGTGTACCGGCACGCAACAGCTCTGGCATAGGACATGTTAAAGTGCAGCGCCGCACTGCTGCGCTACCGCACGGCGTGGCGCGAGCTGCTGCACCCGCTGCCGGTGCACGCGCGGAAGATGGAGTGGCTGAAGCGTGACGCGGTGGAGCAAAACGAGGCGTTGCTGCGCCGCCCGTACTACACCATCAAGTCGTACGTCCTCCCACCGGCGCTGGGAAGACGAAGCGAGGCGGAGCAGCGGCGTGGCCTGCACTCGTCCTTCAGCCTCGATGCGGCGATGCAGCAGCCACGGCGGGTGACGTCGCCGGAGCGGCTGCAGGAACTGCGGGAGCAGCTGCGCTTCCCCGGCGCCGCCGGACCATCACCACCACCACCAGCAGCAGCGGCTGAAGGAGGAGGAAAGGCAGCGGAAAGTTACGAAGAGGCGTACGGGGCACGGCTGNCAGCAGCGGCTGAAGGAGGAGGAAAGGCAGCGGAAAGTTACGAAGAGGCGTACGGGGCACGGCTGCGGCCGCGCTACCCGGAGAGTTGGGACACGGTGCCGCCGCACCAGCCGTCGCGCGGCCTGCTGTGAGCACCTGCGCAGCGCTTCCGTACTGTTGATGTTGACGTTATCTTATTCCGTCTCTCTCTCTGTGTGTGTCTGATGGCTTTCGGGAGTTGTCTGCTCCTGTACACCCGGCGAGAGCACCGCTTTCACTATTCTCTCTTTCTTTACCTATCTATCTATCTCTGTCTCTCTCTCTCTCTCTCTTCGTGCGTGTGTGGCACAGCAGCAACGGCAATAGTGCGTCTGTAGGTGTGGAAGAGGTAGAGGGAGGGAGGGAGAGAGAGAGAGAGGCGCAAAACGAGTTCTGGCATTACAACTATCATCTATCGACGGGCGGACAGTGGCACACACGGACATATAATATATATATATATATATATATATCTAGGTGGATAGGCATTCATACGTGTGTATTGGGATTGGCTTCGCAGGCCACAGAAGGTAGAAGTCGGCTGTATCACTTATCACGTAGCGATCTGTGTGGAAATCTCTCTTCCCCTCTGTGAATTGTGTGCCTGTGCCTGTGTATAAAATGGCACTCTCGCTCCGCGACGTCCTGGCGCGTCCCTCCGATGCGGAGGCGATGGAGCTGCTGCTGAATGAATACAACAAGTACTGCATCGGCCAGCTCGACGACGGTGGCGACATTAGTGGCGATGAGGAGGATGTGCAGAACGGTACCGATGACAGTGGCTATTACGGCCTGCCGGTTGTGCGCAACGCCTTCAACGTGAGGGCGCTGAGCCGCGTTGACTTCCCACGCACGTGGCGGGTGCCGGCCGGGACAGTTCCATCCGCCTGCTACACCAGCGCAGCGGAGCATGGCGGCACGAACACGGCCCTTCTGGTGGATTATAGCCACACGCGGTGCATTGTGTGCGTCCGCAGCGAGTTGCTGAAGCCGGCTGGTGGCGGCAGCCTGCCGCAGAAGGTGCTCGCTGTGTGGCCGGACGAACGATCCAAGCAGCAGCAGCAGCAGAAGAAGAAG